TGTTTCTTGTTTTTTTCTATCTATTACATTTCACGTAATCTAAGTGGTAAAGCAATTTGTTTGATTTGTAGTATTACTTCTCGTTTTTTTAGATTTCATGTATGTAAATTTTATTATTCTGGTTTGATTAACCAAATATATTTTTTTTAATATAAGTTTCCAAATTGATAAGAAAAAAAGGTTTTTTTAATGTCTATATATCTAATAGTCCCATTTCCCGGTTATTTTAATGGATTTAAAGCATAATATGATTTTGAATGAAACAAAAGTTTTGAGAACAAGATTTGTGGTTCATTCTGATTCTTCAATCCGACACCTAACTCGAATTCACAAAAATAAAAACAAACCAAACTGGATCGGTTACGTAATATATAATCTAAAGAGAATAAAAATGATTAGCCACGTAGCCTTTTGGAGTAGGGTCCAGGGCCAATGTGTTCTTCCCTAAAGCAAAAGTCAGATTTAAGAGTCCCGACGAATTTGGTTCTGTTCAGATTTCAGACATTTCCTCTTTTTCACTTTTTGTTTTGTTTTTAGATTACGTTTGTTTATTGCAATTTCTATATCTCTTCATCATATTCACAATGCATCATCACTTTGTAAACACATTCAGTGCCGTGTGTTTCAAGCTTTTTGCCAATATGGGTTGCATCATTTCTTCTCGGAAAAAGAAACCGGCAACAAAAGGGTCATCGGAAACAGTAATAGCTAACGATGATCAATCCCAAAAGGCTTCAGAGTTGTTGAAGATGAGTGATCAATTAGGTCCCAAAGAGCTCAAGAGAGAAGAAAGTGTTCTTGTTGTTGATTCTCATCCTCGCTCATCGGAATTAGCTGCCTCCGGTTGGCCACCGTGGCTTATCTCCGTCGCTGGTGAAGCCCTTGTCGGTTTGATTCCTGGCCGTGAATGCCACTTCCAGAAGCAAGAACAAGTATATATATCTCTCTCTCTCTCCTTATTGATTCTCATTTGATAAACAGTCTTCTTCTCTGTATATGCAACAGATTGGGGGAGGAACATTCAGTAAGGTGTTTAAAGCCAGAGATCTTCTCCGTAACAAGACCGTAGCTTTGAAGAGAATCCGGTTCGATCTCAACGACTCAGAAAGCATCAAGTTAATAGCCAGAGAGATCATAATCCTGCGCAAGTTAGATCATCCCAATGTCATCAAATTAGAAGGCTTGATGCTAATAGACCGCGATTCCTCTAGCCTCTACATGATCTTTGAGTACATGGAACATGACCTATTAGGACTCTCTTCGTTACTCGGTGCCAACTTCTCAGAACCTGAGGTACTGTTTTATAGCTTCTATCCAAAAAGCTTCGTAGCCATCAATCACATCTTGCTTCTTCTTTGTCTCTATCAGGTTAAATGCTACATGATGCAACTCTTAAGAGGGCTTGATCATTGTCACACTAATCATGTACTTCATCGGGATATAAAAAGCTCGAATCTTCTGATCAACGGTAATGGAGTTCTCAAGATTGCGGATTTTGGGTTATCAACGTTCTTCGATCCTCATAACAGTGTTCCATTGACTACCCATGTTGTAACTCTATGGTATCGACCTCCTGAGCTCTTGCTTGGAGCCTCTCATTACGGTGTTGGGATCGACTTGTGGAGCACAGGCTGCGTAATTGGTGAACTATACGCAGGAAAGCCTATTCTTCCTGGAAAAAACGAGGTAAACCGTTACAAATTCCAATCGATCTTGTTCTTACCATGTAACAACCAAAGCCTCAGACTTTTCTCTGTCTTCTCATGTTAGACAGAACAACTGCACAAGATATTCAAGTTGTGCGGATCGCCTAAAGATGATTACTGGACAAAACTAAAGCTACAACTTCCAATTCCATTGAGACCAATGTTTCCATATGGATCACATATAGCAGAGACATTCAAAGAGTTTCCAGCTCCTGTTATTTCGCTTCTAGAGACTTTGCTCTCAATAGATCCAGATTTTCGAGGCACTGCAGCTACTGCTCTCAAGAGCGAGGTACTAGGATTTAGATCCTTACATGTTCCTCAGTAAAGTGTTGGTTTGTTATAAATATGAATTCAAATGATGCACATCTTCCACCATGAAACAGTACTTTAAAACTGAGCCGTTGGCTTGTGATCCATCTTATCTGCCGAAATACCCTCCCAGCAAGGAAATCAACATTATAATGCGCGATGAAACTAGAAAACAAGCTTCTCAAATCAGAAGAACAGACGAACCTCAAGCTGTCCAGCCAATTGTAGCAGATTCTTCTCTCACAAGACCGGTGCAGGTATCTCTAATCTTAGGTTTCTCGAGTGTTTAGGCAGAAATCTTAAATAGAAGATGATGTATTTGCAGAGAGATTCCAGGAGCAACGAGAATTCATTTACGGAGTCCTCTGAGGAAGACGGGACTTCCGATTTACAGGATCATTCTGCTAGACAAATGCTAACAGCTGAAGAGAATTCATT